GCCTCGCAGCTCTTTTTGCATGTGGTGGCGAGTTAGAGGGATTTCTTCCAGGCTTGCAGATCGTATCAGGATGGCAGACTTGAGGATTGGACTAGTAGTGGTCATATAAATCTCCTCTATATCACCTGCTATGCTGTCAGACAGATTTTTGAAGCCAGAAGGACAAGAACTGGTATGTGCCGGAGGTAGGAACTCATTGTGAATGGTGAACTGGAGATGAGGTATCTGGAGTGGACGTGGAGAGCATCTCCTTAGAATTTCCTCACTTCCTGACTCGCTGTCTTTGTCCATGTCTGCTTCGTGGGTTCTCCATGTTTGACCTCTGCTTGATCCAGTCAGTCTGAGTCGTGGAGTCTCCTCTCCCACCTCCGACCAGTCGGATTCCTCCTCTTCTGGAACAGAACCCAAAGGTTGCTCCTGCCCAGAGGTTTGGTCCTTTTCATAGTTGTGGTTGTCCACAAACTGAGCTGGAGGAGGAGTGATGGAAGGAACCATCTGCATGACGGCACCACCAGAAGAATGAAGGCTGGTTTTGTGGATCACTGATGTTGTCTATAGTAAGCAGAAATTGTAACCCAATCAATCATTTATCACAAAATGTAAAAGAATACATTTTTAATTACTTACAAAACAGTTTGTCACCAAGAATCTTTATACCTAGGGGCTCTCCCTAGTTTCATTGTCCAACTGAGCCAATGCTCAAGCATCAGGCATTCATACAGCAAGTATCCACCTGACCCTGGCCTGGCCCCAGGAGGCTACCTCAATTTCCCTTTTTTGTGTACAGTATCTTGCCAAATATGTTGGTGTTTCATCAAGATCTTTAAATTGGTCTTAATCCGACCATTCCTCTTGGACTAGTTTGTCATGGGAGACCATCCCAGAGACTAACGTCATAGACAACAGCCCTTAGGGTCACGGGGAATACTCAGACCCTTCCACTTTGTTAAGGTGGCAATTCTGTGGAGGACAGATAAACTGAACTAGTCCTTGTCCACAATAATGAGGGTGTTGTTTAGGTTTATCCTGGTGAAAAAAGAGTTGAGTCAAAAGGCGAAGCTCTTAATTTTTACGTTCTTATATGTTCCAACTTTCACCTTTGGTCATAAGGTATAGATCACGACCAAAAGAATAACAGCCAGGATGCAAGCAAATAATTTGAGCTTCTTCCATAGGATGACCAGGTTCAGCCTTGGAGAAGAGAGAGCTTTGTGATCTGGGGAGAACACAGGTTAGAGCCATGCGTGGCTTCTCAACATCAAAAGTTGCAATGGTGCAAGTGTCTGATGGATGCCTCTTGGGTGCCTCCCACAAAATTTTGAGTATGTCTCACTGGGAGGAGTCCTCAGAGCAGACCCAAAACTTACTAAAGGGATTTTATACCCCCTCTGGCTTGAGAATACCTTGGGATCCCCTAGGAGAAGGTGGAAAGTGTTTGTAGGGAAGGGGGTGACAGGTATCCCTCTTAGACTTACCTCTGCTACCATCCATAGATATGTGGCATAAATCGTATGGATAAATGAATGAATGAATGGATGGATAAAAACATGTGCTAAAGGTTGTGTTTTGGCGGTTCTTTTTTGGTAAAATCTCATATTAATTAGAATTGCAAACAAAAAAAGGTAAAATCTCACATTTATTGCTTCCATCGTGTTGGCAATTTTTGCATCAGTGAGCTGCTCAGTCAGTTCTGAAACACGCCGATTCAACCTCTCACGCTCCCCCTCCATATTCTGAAGCTGAGAGAGAAAGCACAAGAATAATCCTCAACATCACAGACATTCAGAAAATAAGAATGTTCAATATGTTAAAGTCTAGCTCCCTAAAATACATTTTTTAGGGTGGGGTCATGGAAGTTGTAAGAGTTATTATCTCACCACTGAATGAAGCTTTTGCTCTAGAAGATTATTGGTCTGTTGAGTGGAGGAGCAGTCATCTTGGAGTCTAACATACAGTAGAAAACTGGGACATTAGATTTCACGAGATTACGTAACAGAAATGTTTTGCAGATATTATCTAAAAAGCAGCTTTAGAACCTTTTAAACTTCTCCATGAGGCTGCTGAGCTCCATGCGTGTCCTCTGAAGTTCAGTCTCTAAAAGTTTTTGACTACTCATGAATTCTTCTCCTAAATACTCCATCTGCACCGCTGTCTTCAACAAACTGTGGTGCAGACCTTCGTTTTGGTCCTGTAAAGTCCTATCAAAAGATATATTTTAAAAAGCAAAAAATAAATTATATACTGTTTTAACCAATTCGTATTGCAGTCTTTTAATTTGTTGTCACCTTGGAAGTAACTAGTTAAAAACTTTAAAAAAGAAAATGAACGAAAACATTTTCCCCTTAAACTGGACTACACTTACATGATTCTGCCAAACTCATGTGTCTCTTCCTGTAAAAAATAAAATAAAATAAATAAAGATCAGCAATCTTTCAAAAAGACTATTTGGTTTTTGGAAACCTGAAGCGTTTATTATTTTGTATTTTACCTAAAGAAAAAATAAATAAATACATAAATACCAACAACACAAACATCGGTTTGCACAGTTAAATTGATTACTTTTGGCTTGTGCATCATAACTAATCTATTGTTCCACAATACAGGATCTATAGTTCACTATGGATGCACTCACCAAAATCAATAGAAAAACAAATGAGGAATATAATGTTACATAACCTGTTAATGAAGCTCATAACATTTTTTTCCATTGTGAACAAAATGTAAATTGGGGGCTTGTTATGGTAAAATTGTACAATTTATGTAAAAGTGTAAGTAATGACATACTTCATGTGTTGATGAGCTGGTGAAACTTGTCTGCTTTTCTTCTTGACTACAGGGGCTGTTTGTGTTGCTGGTTAAGTTCTTGCTGACAAGAGATTCAGGCTTTCTTTGTGAAGGTTGATTAATGGTAGAATGGTCCGTTAGATGAATAGGATCACCAACAAGCCTGTTATTTTCACAACTGGTGTTTTTGCAGCACTTCAAATGAAACTGGGATTCAAGGTGACTGTCTTGGCAATGGCTTGTTCTTTTGTCGTCTTCTTGGTAAAAGTCGTGGCCTTGACTGTAGTGGTTTTTATAGGGATGAACCTCACTGTGTTGGTCTCCTTGGTGATGGTGATGCTGGTAGGCTTTATTGTGATAGTGATGCCCGGGACTGTGATGGTCTCCATGGTGATGGGGCTCATTGTGTTGGTTCCTATGGTGATGGGCTGGATGACGAAAGTCTCTGCGGTGATGCTGAGGCTCACTGTGTTGATCTTTATGTTTAGGAGACTTACTGTGGTGGTCTCCATGGTGGCAAGCTTCATTTTGCTGATCTCCATAAGGATGGTGATAATGTTCACTTTTGCGGTCACCATGAAGATGACCTGGATTATGATGATTTTCCAAGAGGTGCTGAAGTTTGTTGTGGTGGTGCTGAGAGGGATTCAGTTTACTTGGACTGTGGTGGTCTCTGTGATGAGGATGATTAGATTCTTTGTGATGGTCTTCATAGTGATGCCCATGGGTTTCATTGTGGTGTTGGTGATGACCTAGACTGTGATGAATATCATGATGAAGATGGTGAGATTCATTCCTGTGATCACCTGGATGATGGTGATAAGTATCTCTATGGTGGTCACCATGGTGATGCTGATGTTCTATTCCTTGGTGAATTCCGTGGTTACTGATTGGGCTGCAATGTTCATAGGGACTTGGCGTGGTTGGGCCTGAGATTGGATGGACATTGTGGTGGTGACCTGAATTGTGATGGTCTTCAATGTGATGTGATGAAACAAGTTGATCTTCGTGATGACGATTTGGATCACAGTTATCTATGAGGTTGTGAGCATGTTCATGGTGGGTTCCATAGTGGTACTCTTGGGAATTGGCATGGTGGTCATGACAGTGACTTTCATTGTGATGCTTATCATAATGAGTTGGACTGCAATGGTCTTTGTGGTGCTTGTCTCTATGGAGATGTGATGCATTGTAATAAGTAGGACTGTGGTGATCTCTTTGCTGATAGGCAGGATTGTGGTGGTGTCCATGGGGATGGTGATGACTTGTGGTGCGTTTTTTTCTGTGTTGACGATGATGACTTGGGTTCTTGCTCTCCTTTTGGTGATGATGGTGGCTGAGCTTACGAGAAGGTAAATGAGGGTGATGTTCCGGACTTGGAGATCGTGAGTGACAGCTTTTTGACCTGTGCTTCATGTGACTGGGTGGGCTTGCAGAATGGCGACTGTGATGATTGAAAGATTTCGAGCGGGAAAGCTGAGAAGAGTAGGAATGCTTGTTGGAGCTAATTGAATCAGGACTGGCAGGCTGACTTCTGCACTGCTGTGGTATATCAGCGTTGCTGTCCTTCTCCCTGGACTTGACAGAGGCTTGACCTGGGCTATGGGGTCTTTGAGTATTAGTAACCCCAAGAGAGCTAAGTCTCATGGGGCTGAGCACCTGCCGAGTGATCTCATTAAGGAAGGCAGAAAACTTCATTTTTTCTTTTAATAAATTGTGTCTTGCTTCACTTTTGCTTCTCTCCTGTTCATCTCCATTTTCATTTCCATTCTCACTATTGTCTTTAGGTGTCGTGAGAGCATCCATGGATTTGGCTTTGCGGAAACTTCCATCATTTACCTGGTGTCTTGTGCACATATGTTTTTTCTTCATGCCTTCATTAGTGGGACCATTCGTGGAGGGCTTCCCCATGTCTTTTTTCTGTTTGGCAGAAGACCTGTTCAAATTACCTCTTGCACTTATCAAAGGGGCTGTATCATCATCATCTTCAAAATACTTGTGTTTCTCAGAAATGTCAGTGAAAGACTGAGAATGCTGGGGTCTCCTGGGATAATATCTATCTGAACACTCGCTGCTGTTCTTAGAGGACAAGCTAGAGGAGGAAGAAGACATCGTAGAAGAAGACGATAACAAAGAAGAAGAAAAGGAGGAAGTAGACAAAGAAGAAGAGGAGGAGGAAGATGATGCTGAGGAAGATGATGATAATGAGGAGGTGCTGGTACTTCTTGAAACATGACAATAATTTGGCTTATGGCGGTAATGAGGAGGGTGATGAGTCTTGTCGTGAGCTCGCTGATTCTGAATATTTGGTTGACGATCCCTGATGTCCTCAGCTGAATGGATGCTGTTTAAAAAAGTGTTTAAAATTTGTCACATTTTGGAGAAAAAAACCCACAATTCTAATACTATCATATAAGCAAGCCAACAAAAAGCCTCATATCTACAGTGAAAAACATTACAAACTTACTTATTATCCTTATTGCCATCTTCCTGGTGATGGTAATGATGATGACGATGTCCTTGATTATGGCGAGGCTGCATCCCTTGTTGAGATTTGGAGTTGGAGGTCTTGTCGTGTTTGTATCCTTTTTCTTGATGGTCACACATTTCAGACTTTTAATGATTCTCTTGTTTTGCTGCTCTTGTACAAGTCTGAAATAGTTCTTTATCAGCCGGTGAGGCAGATGAAAAATTCCCCTGAGACTGAAACAATGTTAATCTCTGGAAAAAGAACCAGCCTTTTTGAAAAAAAAAAAAAAAGTTCAGTAGATTAGGATTATCTCCTATTTTGCGCAAAGTACAAAGATGCAACACAGTTAAACACAATCTTTGTATGCCAGTAATAAAATTACTCAGTAGCAGTGTGGTGTCATGATTATATTACATATAACCGATGACTGTTTCTTCATAAAACTGCTGCATTTTAATTATAGCAACGCGTTGCAGAAAATAAACAGGAGAAACAGTATTTGGCATACAGAGAAAACAAAACTTGTTACAAAACATTAAATCATACACCAAGTCTTAGCATTCCAAAAGGGAAAAAAAAGCATTTTAGCATCTTGTTTATAACATATTCAACATACAGTCGGTTTATTTGTACTTACGTTCCTGTGAGGGCAGAGGAGTTCAGACAAATGTTCCGTTTCTCTCTGTGTGATGCACCATCTGATCGAGCTGGGCAGCAGTGCAGTGAAGTGTAACGTCAAACGCTGACATATCAATATGTGCCTCAGTCCAATGACAGGACTGGTGGCTGCAAGCAGCTGATCTGAACGTAATGACAGTTGAAGCTAAGGCCAAATTTAAACATGTATATTTAAATTGGTAATTTAACGCACCCTACAGTTTGGTTTAAAAAGATCAGTTCACATTGTTTTTATGTTCGAAATATTTCAAGATAATTTATTCATTTTAGACACAAAGAACCCAAATGTAGGCAAAGTCAAAACGTTTGCAATAATCTCAGCTGACAAAAAGCCTGTTTTGCTGACAAAACTGAATAAGGAGTTTGCATTATGTGATTCACAAGATGTTTTGCTAACAGACAGGCAGGATTGACACCAACCTTTAATTCCAAAGTTTTAATTAAAAGATCTTGCACAATGTGTAGCACTCGTAGTATGTATATTTGGAATAACCTTCAGCTACAATCAAATAAACTTTTGCCCGATATCTGTAAAATTGCTTGAGTTGTTGCCATTTCTGTGCTCTTTGAGGTTAGATATTTGTGACAGTCATCCTTAATTGGGTTGACTCCAAAAGTTAATCAGTTAGTCATCCAAAGATTGTTTTCTGACAGTTTCATTAAACTATATCCAGTGGTGCATGCAATATTTTGCTAACAGACAAACAAATACACACACAGGCATAAAGTTTAGGCTTTTAGCAACAAGAACAAGCAAAACAAACAACAATGTTCAAGGTTCAAGACTGACAGTATGGCAAAAACATCTTTTTTAAAAAGAGTCTAAATTTTCTTTTTCCAGCCATGAAAAGATGTAGAAGTGAGAGCTTTCGCAAGTTTTTAAATATGAATCCAGGAGGAATATTTAAAGATTTTCTTTTCGGCAGTACACAAGCTTCAACAGCTGATAATAGTCATCTTTAAATGTATTTTCCATTAGGACAAACATATTTTTACTCGAAAAGCCCCGAGCACAAACGATGACCTAATCTCTCAGATTTGAGCTGTTTTATCAGCTAAAACTCAGCGTTGGTTTCTCATTGTTTTGAAGGGCCCTTTTGAGGTGTAACGAGCAGAAATAAAGGTCAGAAGTGAACTCCATGTTGAAGTGAGTCTGACTTGTAGGTGGGGGATCACGTCTCTCACTATCTTCTTTTACTCTTCAGTCTCCAAACTATTATAAAAATATTCTTGCACGTCAGAATATAGCATATCTGGAAAATCTAACTTCAGGAAAATATTGCAGGTGTAATTGTTTATTTTAAAAGGTAATTTTGCATCTTTGTTATATTGTAGATGGACGTAGGCATAGGAATAAAAGGGCTGTGGAGCATGTTAACAACAAAGTCAAATTATTGATAGAGATGTCCCTATTATGTCAGCACAATGGGCAAGCTAATAACTCAAAGTTACACAGATATGCATTGATTTACAATAAAATATCAAAAGCGATTACATGTAGAGAAGCTACATTGAAGCACTTTACATTTTGCAAGTCGAGAAACGCATCAAGCTACACAGAACTTCACTTTGTGATAAAATGTCAGATCTGTTATTTTCTGTAATTCACTGTGTAGAAAATAGATTATAGCCAGCAGCTTTCCCTGTATCCATCCAGCTATGACTCAGAGTCCCTCACAATCAATGGCGATGCCACGCAGCAACACAATGGAAAGTTTGGAGAGTCTAACGCTCACATGCAAACACAGTACGTGTTGGTGGGTATTTATAACAACATCAACACTTAAATCAGTACAAGGACACTGTGTGACTTTACTGGATGGGGAATTAATGCAGCTCTCTTCAGGAAAGATTTACATCATTCAGAACATTTTCAAAAAGAAGCACTCTGAGTGCACACACCTCCGCCAAGACCCTAGGATCTTGGCCCTCATTAAGTCTTGCCCTTGTTACAGTTCATCTGGGCCCCCCAAATGATATTTTAAATGTAAAATGCTTGATTAATACTTAATTTAGTGCAAACTTATTTGTTTGATTTTTCAGTCATCTTTGATTTTAATGTGGAAAGAGCAACAAAGAACATCAGATGAGACTTTAATTAAACTCCTGGTGATGAACCTGCAACAAAGAAAATACGTCGGGTATCTGACTTAACGTATTAAATGAAATTGGCCCGTGGCTTGGACCAAGTTTTAAATTTTGACCCCCTTTTGTACGTTATAGGCCTTTTCCATAGCTCCTCTTCAGCACAACTCGACTCGGTTCGGAGCCTTTTTCCACTAGCAATTTTTTGTGGAACCAGACCCTTTTTTAGTCCCTTCTTCTCTGGGGTACCAAGCGAGCCGAGCCGGCACCAAAATGTGACGTCAGAACACTGTCGGTCACTGATTGGTCAGGGGGCAGAGTCACTGGATCTTTCAGAAACTTTTCACCAGTCCGCCATTTGCAATTACTTGGAACTCGGAGCAGTGGCTGGATCTATTTTTAAGACTTTAAAAACAATAATGACAACACTGTGTTTAATGCTGAAGTTCAGGCATTTTTTGTGTGTTTGGTGACCGACGACAAAATTCAGAGCGAGCTAGTCACCGCAGACGATCATACAAGTTGTCGACCCGTTGAAGTGAACGAGGCCGGGTCTGAGCCCTGGCCCCACGTACTCACAAAGGCCGGACTCCAAGCCCTGGCAGATGAGAGGACCGGGATGGGTCTGGGATGGAGGGTGGAAATGATTTTAAAAAACTATTTATGTATTAAAAAATTTATAAATTGTATTTTTTTTTAATCCATAAAATATTTTTAAAAATTGTTCCCAAAAAATATATATTTCTTTTATCAGTGAAGATTAAAAATAAATAAATGGTGCCGGCTTTATCATGAAATCCTGTTTGCACTTTATTGACTTTATTAAATAATCCGTTAATTAAAGTTAACTCAGCTGAAAAATTATAAAGACACAAAATTATTGGATCTCTCAGGAATATTTCCCTCAGACATGTTTAAAGAAGAGATACAGCCTTTAGTTCAACTTTATTCCAACCCACAGAAATCACAAAACAACAATTAAACTTTAAATCAAAGCTAAACTAAAATAATTGTATACAAGAAACAAAACCACACATCTGAATTGAACAAAAAAGTAGACACAATGTGTGCAAATACATCAAATGAAGAAGAAAACCTATACATTTTTAAATATAGATGTTTTTGTAGAAGCTGATTAATCAGAGATTTAATGGTGAACTAAAGTTCAATAAAAGTTTATTAACATATATACACATATAGCATATATATATATATATATATATATATGTATATATATATATGTATATATATGTATATATATATATATGTATATATATGTATATATATATATGTATATATATATGTATATATATATGT